CTCAGGGCACTGAAATTTACATGTCTTTTTCGTAGTGTGTATCTTACAGGCCTCCGGTTGGTTTTGGTGAGGGGACAGATGTGTGCATATCATCGTATACTCTTTCGGTACTATACATAGATCTACTCAGACACAATTTCAACTGCCCGAGTGTGAGCTGAAGACTCCAGGTATAGTCTTTCGAAATGGGAATCAAGGAGCGTTGCAATTGCAAATGTATCCACCAGCTCAACGTTTTTGAACCTCTCGTCAAACTGGAGTGCACTACTGCACTGTTTAAATCGAATAAGCGCGAGCAAGAGGGAAACATATTATTGGGAAAACAAACCGTCCGTTCATGCATTTGTGCTAGATAGAGAAAGTCAATTAAACGTCAAAAAAATCTATAATTTTAATTGCAAATGCAAATGCACTGAAATTTTCTTTTTGGAGCAAAACAAAAATCGAATGAAAAGGATCGATCCAGTAGATTTTTTTCGTGTTTGGGATCGATTCAAAAAATCGATTAACCAAACCAAAATAATCGATCTTTTGTTTTTCAATCCAAGGTCGCCCATTGCTAATCGTAACAATGAAAGAGCAGCCCTTGTAGCAAATACCGGTTGAGGTAACTGCCATAGGGCCCATTTTAGTCACAACCAAGTTACTGAAACTTTGTGTGACTGATGTGTGCTACTTGGGAGGGACCGGGGTCACAGAAATTAGAGTTTGCCTTCCAAACAAATATCCTTAGTTTGAAGATTCGTGTAATGGCGTCGTCTTTCAATACGCTCTACACCTTATTCACCTTTCATGACTCAATATCGTTACGCGAATGTTTTAGGTATAAGTCTAATATTTTTATTCATTTAGGCATCAGTGTGAGAAAGTTCATTTTGAACAGTACCAAGCCAAATGATGAATTGGAAAAACTCGACCTTCTCCGATACGCATAATTGTTTGTTATGGACACCCTAATAAAATTGTTATAGTTATTTTGCTTTACGACGTGTTCCGGATATTATCTAATCCATTTGTGGAATAGTTCTATAATTTGGATAATTATTCGTTTATGGTATTTTTTTTTATTAGGGAAACCATTCACATTTTTACAAAAATTTGGCCATTTTGAATGTTGTAATTTGTTTTTAAATGGTGTCTTGGCAATTTTTCAATAAAATGTAGTCGGTTAAGGTCAAGGCGTAATATTTTAATTTTTTTCATGTTTGGCCTGGAACTTGTCTTTTCAAAAAAAAAAAAAGTTCTTTCGCTGTTCTTCAGAGAATCATTCCGCTGAAGAACTAGCTATGCAAAAATCGCGAACGAAATGAGAATAAAAGTTCCCGCACGAGATGTGAGGAACAATGCAGAAAACGATTGCGAAAGAGAATTCCATTTTCGATTGCTCAGCCTATTTCACATAATAATCGAGAAACGAACTAGCTGACTTTCTTGTCTCCTATTTAATGTTTCGTAAGGGAGTAGAATTAAATCATGTCGCTCAATTTCTGCCACTCTGCTGATGATTCAGTTTTCTAGATTTGGTGGTATGCCTTATGCATGATGATATTTAGGTAGCATACATGTATGAGTAATCCGTGTGTTATTATTGGTGGAAGTAAACATTTTGGATGCATTTAATACACAATCATAAGGTTTTCACTCCTTGTATCTCTTGATTTACGTTACTCGTATAAGAAATTCAAACTTCAACGGTTGCCAATCAAAAAGTTCACGAGTCATAGCTTGTGATCCATCTACATATCGGGAACGAAAAGTTGTGCAAGGAAGGTAGAACTAAAAATATTATTTATCATACGTTTTCTCTTGCTGGTGAGTCAAAGTGGTAGTGATATTAGTTTCTCTCAATCTCAAACAAGAATGTTCACTTGAGAAATAAAGCTTTGCGAAATTCACATCACTAAATTCCCTAGAGAAAAACATCTCGCTTGCGATAATGATCTTTTGGCGATATTTCCAACACTGAAGACAATGATTGCCATTCCAAATCTTTTCAGACTTTTAACGACCTTGGAAGCTGTTCTATGAATGCCGATCAAACTACATTTTTTTTTGTCTTTGATTTGTTTTCCGTCGATCTTGTTTTCCGTGCTGAGCACCAATGCTACCGACGCCAGGAAGGCAGCTCCCACACCTGGACCCTACCTATCGACCCATCAACTCATGAACCGGGGACCAACGGCTTTACTTCCCTTCCAAAGGAAGGCGTGATCAGAGATGCTATGCCTCAGAACATCCCGGCGGCGCCAACTGGGATTGAACCCAGGCCTGCTGGGGTGAGAGGTAACCACGTTTACCACTACACCACCAGCGCCGCTGATAAAACTACCTGCACCCATCTGAAGCTTATAATGCCTCTGAAACTACTTGAGCTTCTGAGAAGTATCATGATCAGTTTTGCAGATCTTAGAACCACTTTGAAGCATACACGGCTAAGAACTCCTCAGGGGTACCTCACACACTAATCCAGTTAGTAGGGTTTTAGTGGGTTTTTGGATTGCGGAACTGTTCGGTAAAAGTTTAAAAAGCTGTGGAAAATTTCTAAAATTAGAATTTTTTCCAAACTTGTACAGACTTAGTTCTGTTAACCCCATTTAATGATAGTAAATAAAATTTGTCGATTTAGTTGAGTCCTTACGGATAACGGTCATTTGAATTTTAACCGACTTTTTCAGCAATTCATAAACCCATTAAAAACTTACTGACTCCTGTAAAATAATCTAAGTGTGCACCCGAGCAGGAAGCGATAACTAATCGATAACATATAAATATCTTAAATTGGTATGGTTGTTGTATAAAGCCTTGCTTTGATATTATTCAGTTATCGAAATATTTTATAAAATATTAAAACTTGATCTTCAGTTTTTAGACAATAAGGCCTAAAAGAGTTATTGGATTTGTATTAGAAGACCTTATAAATAACAAATTATGGTATTCTGGCATCAAAAAAGCGTCTGTTATCCGTCAATTATTATAATAACTAAATTATTTATTAGTTCGTTATTCGTAGAGTTTTTTTTAGGTATTATTTTTGGTATTTTACCTCTTATGTCAGGCTCGTCAATACCATATTCAGGTTGCCAGGCATGCTATTATCATACCTGAATTTGGTATTCATAAGTTATTTTCTCCTGTTTCTCCAGTGATGTTCAGGGTAATTCTCAGTAGTAGTTCAGAACCTCAGAATTCTTAAGTTCTGTTCTTAGTTCTTAGTTCTCGGTAGTAGTTCAGTCCTCAGAGTTCTTAATAATAGTTCATGTAACCTCATGGAAGCATGGGAATCTTTTAATAAATGAGAGTCACTGTTCGTACTGACCCAGTCGTGACCTTATCGACGCTCCATCAAACCCGGATTTCCGCGACGCACTATCAAACCCGGATTGAGTCATCTACCTCGTCCCGGTCCTGTGGTCAAAGTAGAAGCAGGGATCTGTCAGCCTGCATCTACAAACAAGCATTCCAGTGAATCGCACTAACGGCGTCACAACATGTCAGCGATAACATGATGCCCACATCTAGCAAAACTTCATCTCCGGCGGAATCAACCGTGGTAGACACCATCCAATAGCTGACGGAGATCAACCGGGACGCATGTAACATGGTTTTATTAGAGTCCCTGTTTGCTTTGACCCAATCGTAACCTTCATTGAACCCGTATTGCTTCCTCCCATCTACGTCGTCCTTGCGTACCCTTAACGTATTGAATGTTCGTCACTGTCCCGCACCATTAACAACGTATCATCTACCTTAGAGCGTAATAGATCTGTGATTTATTTTTCTCCCATTGCGAATGTATTTTACTTAGGATGCCAAACGGCTTCTACTTAGTTGATCCTTTGGTGAGGTGATTCATATTTACACATCGCTTAATAAGAAAAGAAGCCCAGAGACTTTTTAATTAAAGAACAAACACGCAAAATAAGTGACTTTGAAAGTCAATCAAATCTTGAACAGCAGACAATAGACAAATACTAAGTTAGGAAAACAACCAAACCCAAACTGAAAACAGCTTGATGGAAAACAGTTCAAGTTAAACCGATGTTTCGCCACTCGCTATATGTATATTCAGAACCTCTTTGCCTACCATTCGCTCTCATCTGCAATGCATCCCGCTGGATACTGCTCTCGAAGGAAGAAAAAACGATCCAAGCACGGCGTTAAAACTGAACTGTAAAAGGTATCACTTTCCCGTCAGGGAAATCGCTCGTTCATCTCTCCTCTTCCCATCCCAGTAATGCGTCTCACTCTGGCTTACAAATTATCTTAAAAATCTCCTGCCCTACCGTCCTTAACTACCTACTGCTAGCTACATAGTAACTTGAAACTTGCCGTATTTTCTTTGGTATTTTCTCTCTCAGTTTCCTCGCACGGCATCTTCCGGGTGCCGTTCTCGCTTTATCATAACGGTAGATGTCAGAAATTGCTTTGACTTTGAGGGTTTTACTTAAAAGAATGCCGAGAATGCTGCAGCTTGCTCTAAGGAAGGTTGTAAAAAATGTCTAGTTCGAAGGCAAGAAGATTGGTATTTTTGTACCTAGGTTAAAGAAACTCTAAACTCTGTACAATGGATCTAAATAGTTGATTTTTTCTTTCTTTTTTTTTTGTTGCTGTTGGAAAGATCGATGAAAAGGTAATTTTAAGTTGAACAAAGTTTTCTCTTGGTTGGTTAGATTTGTTTCGGTTATCTTACTCTCTCGGTTGCTTCCCGCAACCGAAAAATATGTTGTATCAACTGCTTTTATCCGCTTGCGCTCTATAAAGTTTGCTAATTGAAGTCATTCTTTTCAATGTGTATAAATCTTAACATTAATTATTATCGTTAAAAATTGGTTGCTCTTAAATCTCTGCTCTTAGTTACGTGTTAGTAAGAATTAGTGTTTTGTGATTTATTAATTGTGTTATTCCTAGTTGAGTTTTTTTTTTCTTGCTAGCAACTGATTCGCATAGATCTACCTGGCAATTTTAGTATAAAAAAGAGTATGCAGGGAAAAGGTGCTTACGGTTCGCGGTAAAGCTAAGACGAAAGAAGCAGCCTGTGTCGTAGGCTAGTGGTCACTATCACTAGTAGGGCGGTCACCCCTAGCAGGTAGTTCACCGTACTGGACGTCTTCAGTGGATGGTTGGCACTGTTGCCAGCTAGGATTTCGGCGCGCTTTCGCAAACGAGCCTGCAATGGGAAAAGAGAGTAAATGAGATCAGTCACATTGTGGAAAGCAAAATCAATCGGTGGCAGGGCAAAAGAAGATTCTAAAATGATTAATTTAAATCTTTCTCGATATGACATATCGAGTTCCGTACGGTGGTTTAGAAAAGTTGTATCCATATCTATTTAGTAAGCGACAGTTGACTGTAGTTCCCAGGTCAAGATGATCAGTATGCGGTAATCTAAGACCGTTAACACTTAATTTTAATACAAAATGTTGGATAGACTAATGGTCAAGCGGACAAGAAGTCGAAAGGACAAATGATCAAAATGCACAAAATGATACTCATGACCAGCGTTGCCAGGTCAGTTTCAAGGAAATATGGTCCACTTGCCTACCTTAGCTCAGTCGGCAAAGTCTCAGTAGGGACGCAATAAAGTCAAAAAGAGGAATGGTCCAGTTGAAATATAAAAATATGAAATACCTGAAATAACCAAACCAATACCAATTTCATTTATAAAGAATATAACAAAAATTTTCAAACATATTTTCAAGTGCTATTGAAGCAAAATTGGTGTGCCAATCACCCGAAAACACGTCCCGTGTACTAATCTATTTTTATTTTTATGTACAGTATTGCAAGTTTATATGAATTTTATGGTAAATTTCTGAGTGTTTATTAATTATGGCATATTCCAGCGTAACGGACAACATGAGGAGCCGACTTGCATTAACATTTTAAGCCCACTATAGAAAATAAGGTTTATGACCAAGCGACTAAACAAGTTTATGCCCACTAAATATACTTTCTGATGTGATATTCTTTTTAAGATGTAACGTCGGTGTAGTAAATATAACGTGTTACATTTCGTATCGGGACACCATCGCAGAAATGCACTTTTTGGAGCATCACGAGTATGCACCTTTAGAATTAAAAACGACCCATAAATTATTGAAAAACGTTCTTTAAAAAACATCCAAATGATCCATAAAACACCGCAGGAAATCTCTTGAAAAGTGTAAATGATCCTTAAAAAACATCAATATTATCCATATTTTATGTAAAATTTAGCAACACAATTGTAAAAATGTACTGCTTAATTTCTAAAGAATGAGCATTGAAATTGCACGAATTACCCATAAACATATTGAAAATGACCCATAAAACGTTCGTCAATGAACCTTAAACTAATGACAATGATCCATAGAAAATCAAGCTTGCGTACTTAAAAATATAAGCACGATCTATAAATTAGACATATACTGTTCATGTTTTGGACATTTTTTTTTAATTTGACACTCCAAGGAAGCCTTAGCGTGAAACTTCAAAGGCACAAATGTCAGCTTCCACAAAACATACAAATTTGAATTTGCTACTCTCTGTTTGTAGTAGCACAGCAAACAAGGAGTAGCCATTTCATCTAAAAGAAGCTTCTAAAATATATTCTCTAGGATGCTTCTTAACACTCCCAACACGATGCAACCGTTAAAATGTGTAACGGAAAATTGGTAATGTTTGAATACTCATTTCTCAGTAATTTATCAATAGATAACTAACTAACATCAGTGACCATTCGATCTTTTCGGACTTGATTACTGAGGCTTCAAGATTGTTTTTTTTTTACTGTGATGAACATCTCCACCGATTTTCTCGGTGAAAACCATGAACATTGGGATTTCAATCAAGAATATCTGAGAGGTAAGTAAATATAACAAATCATCATGATCAAAATATTTTTTGTTGATGTGTCATGTTCATGAAAATGTATTCACTGTTACCAACCGAAAGCGAGTGATACATTGTTCATAAACATTGTTTCGAATTTGAACAACAAAAAAAGTGCTTTGAAATTATTGAAAGCGACGGTGGTTCTTTTTTACTTAACAGCGCAGCATCGAGTTCAGGCTCTTGGGGTTGTGAATGATGTCGCGGAAAGGACCGTAAAGCTTGTTTCCGACCTCAACAACTCGGTAACCAAGAATTCAGAACAACATGAATACTTCTTGCAAGTTGTGAAGTACCACCGGAGAATGAAGGCGATGAAATATTGATGTCTGAGCAACAGCATATCGACTGATAAGGTTTAATTAAATGCGTTGCTTTCTGTATGAATTGCTATAAATGTTCTGTATATAGATTTGTAAGTGATATTTGTATTGTAAAACAAGAATTTGTTTCGAAATGTTTTGAGTAAATTGTCTGCAAGAGATAGATTTTTCTTTTTTGTTTTCTGATCATATATTTTTCTTAAGGCCTAATGTACACCTTTGTGAAAAATAACGCGTGTTTCCAAACGACCCCCGTGAAACATAATTGTTGTACTATACCGAAAACCTTTGTAAAATTTCATCCAAATCGAAGATTCTTTGCGCATGAAATCGGCTTTCCTCCATGCTGAGTGAACCCCAACACAACGTGACTGTCTCGTGTAGACAGCAGCAGGTGGCAGATGGCAGTGCTGCTAGAAAAAAAAAATAATTATCAGCAGCGTTGCCAGGTCATTTTCTGAAAAATCTGGACCAGTCTAATTATAAAATCTGGATAAATCTGGAATGCTCCAAAAAATCCTGTTTTTAACAAAATGCTACTGGAATCAAAGTGATGTGCCGATCTCCCGTAAAAATCGGTCAGTATGATCATCTGGAATTTATTCGATGACTACCCGAATGTTTATGAAATCTATGTTTAAAAAATATATAAAGTCAACTTGTTAGCATTGCTAAAATCATCCAAAAGTTAAGAAAAGTATTGACACATTGTTCCTAAGAACTTTTAATATCCATAACACAGCATTTCAAACTTGATTAAAATTTTTGGTAAAATACTGCAGAAAATATTTTTGGATTCTGAAGCACCAAAGAGTCAAGCAACTTTGATTGGATGATCTTTTTAACTAATTGTCGATTAAGTTTTTAATATTTGATGCAGTACCAGAATATGTATTTCAAATTTTATTAGTTTTAAATAATTGTAATATTTCTCTGAGATAGATCAGGCTTCCAATTTCATTCTTGACATCAGACCAAGAGGTGAATGAACCCGTTGGTTTAAAACCTCTATAATAAACAAAAAAATAGAAATATTTAAACATAATCCATCAACATTGCTTAATAGAGATCAAGGAAACGGATACTCGAGACGCTTTAGCATGCTACCTTAAACAACACATCGTGGTATGCTTCTACCTGTTAGAGACTGAATTCAGGTACCTAGTTAGGTAAATTTTGACATGGCAGTGGATACCTGCTGATTTTTAGTACCTATTGATTAGTATATAACTCGTAGATAAAAGATGGATTCGTCAGTGGTGTTGAGTACTTGGCACTGATGAAGTCTGCAAGTAGTAGAAGAAATACGCGTATCTGTCAAAAGATAAGCAATTTTAACGGAATTTAAAGGAAATAAACCAACTCACTCAAAGCTCTTCATAAAGGGATTCCGTTAAGAGGTTCGACAAAAGGAAAAAAAATCTATTGAAATTATTCTCACGATTCATATCAGCATTCTCCTTAAGTTTCATATTAGGAATTTTCTATGATTTCTCTTCCGAAATTCTAACTATTTCCTTTTTCACAAAATCTTCATGCAATTGTCATTATAAAGTTTGCAAAAGACCATTTATACCATCTTCACTTCAATCAAAGGTTGCACAGACTGCATACTTACACTTCACTGTAAATTATTTTCAGAATTTCCTTAAAATTCTGAAATATAGGGCAATTCAGAATTCTAAAGTATTTCAGACTGCAAAGGTAACTCAATATTCGCAGTTACTTTAAAATTCTATTTAAAAACCTAATTAATTATCCTCACAAATATCACGAACATACTAGATTCAAAAGCCTTGCTAATTTTCCAAAGCTCAATTTATTGTTTTCAATCCTGAACAGTTTTCGATTTCTCTGAATTAAAAAATTAGGAAAAATCTTCCATATTTAAATAGGGGAACGTATTCTCGGCAATCTAAGCAGCGTCCTCACTTCTATTATAATTTTCTTAGCCTCACGCACACATATGACGTATTTGTTTATATACATTTATCTGCTGCTTGCTTCTCTATCCATACCAATCGACAGAATTGTTCAAAATTGTTTGAAAGCGGTTTAACAACGCTCCAAACTACTCAGGTGTGTGTGACTATTGTTGGCAGCCTATTTTTCTTCGGCAACCTTTCCATTTGAACTGCGTGTTCACCAGCTGTTCTATTATCGGCAACTCGAAATCAGCCGCATTTTGTAGTGCATATTTTTCATTTAAAGAAAAATCTGCCATAACAGGTTTGCTCAGTTGTAAAAAAATAATCAGGTTGAAGCAGAAAGACTGAGGAATCGTTTGAATACATTCAGCGACGTGTTTTGATGGCAAAATACAGTAAAATTAACGTTGAAATTTTGGTTGCCGAAAACAGTCAGAAGCCGACATTTACCCTTTTGATTTTTATAAATCCAGGCTTAAAAAAAATTAGAGCCAAAATCAAAACAAAAACACACACAAAATCCTGGATCGATATTTTTAAAAATTTGAAGATTTTTACAGCCAATAATGTTTAGAATATGATTCAATTTTCATGATTCAGCAACCCATTGCAAACATGCTGTAACAATTCCATGTATGATGTTGCAATAATGTCCAACGTTGTGGCCTTTAGTAATTAAAGTAGTTAGTTTGGTGAATTAATTGCAGTGATATTTATAAAGCAACACATTTTAAAAATCTAGGAAAATCTGGACCATATTTAAAAAATCTGGATATTGTAAACGTGATCTGTCTGTGTGTCTGGCTAGACGACTGAAAATCTGGAAAATCCAGATAAATCTGGAATACTGGCAACACTGATGAGCAGTTCGTTTGGTTAGCAATAATGGCTAAATAACGTTTTCGACAAGTGTGTCGGATCATTTTGCGATCTTTAAAAAAAAAGTTTCCTTGTAAAATTTAGGGAGTAGTTGGATTGATTTATTTTAAGAAGATTTTACCAGATTTTTATTTGAAAAAGTAAGTTTTCCCATAGAAAATCCTATG